GCCCGCGCGCCCTGCAGTCGCACGCGCAGCTCATACCCCACCCCCCCCCCCCCCCTCTTCTCCTCCATCTCCCTGCTGCGCGTGCAGCATTTTGGGGGGGGGAGGGGGGAAGAGGGTGTGAGGGGGTGGCGGATGTGTTTCAGCTGCAGCAGCTGCCGCCACGCCTCCTCCTCTCTCACAGCTGCGCCTGCTGCTGTGGGGGGGGGGGTGAGGGGGTGGCGGACGTGTTTCAGCAGCAGCCACCTCCCCGTGTTTCAGCAACAGCCGCCTCCCCGTGTTTCAGCAACAGCCGCCTCCTACTGCCACACCTACTGCAGTGGGGGAGGAGGGTGAGGGGGTGGCGGGAGTGAGGTCTAGTCTACCTACCACCGCCGCACCTGCCACCGGTGCCTCTGCCACCGTACACCTACTGTGCTACTCTGATCTGGTGTCTCTGCATGTGGCTCCCACTGCAGGCAGTTAGGGGGTGTGTTAGAAATTGTAAATTTCTTATAACTGCCTGCCAGTGTAGCTACTGTGTAGTGTTACTGTTATTGTTGGTGGTGCAACATCTTGCCCACCCTTTCTCCTACTTGTACCTTCCTTTCTAATCAATCATCCTCTTTTGCCAAACCTTCCTCTCCATACTCACGTTTCCTAGCCAAAACCCTAGGTAACTAAGCAGTGAGTTATGAGCCTAATTTGACAGTCCTCCCACTTCGATGCCCCCAGGCTCTGCAATCAGTACCGATGACTAGCACACCAACCTCTCGTTCGGGTGCCTTCACATTTCACTGGTCATGCTCCTTTCCCGCTGCATCTCTCTCTGTTGCCGAGTCACGGTGCCACTGCTGCTGCTGCTGGTTGCTGGTCGAGGTCTCAAGTCCAGGTTGCTACGGTCTCGGGGGTACACCATCAAGCCGTATTCCCGCTCGAAGCTCTCCTCGTCCTCCTCTTCTTCCGCCATTTCTTCTATTGCCAGCATTGCACTGGTGTGTTCCGGCGCCGCAAGGATCCGTTCTAGCTGCCGTTGTAGCTTCTTGAGCACCACTTCTAGGTCCTGTCGACTCGGCGCGGCTTCTCTGCTCACCCTCAAGTAGCATTCTTCCGTCTTGTGCCCCCTTGTGCCGCACATCTCGCAGGCTTGCACCTTGGGGCAGGCTCTCTTTATGAGCCCCGCCGCTCCGCACTCATGGCACCTCCTGGCTTCTAGCCAGCCCATGTCTGCTGATTCTCCCCCTTGTATCGCCGCTGCTGCCCACGCCACCCAAGGCTTGGTCTTGGTCTCTCCCTCTTCCAAGTCTAGTAGCCTCCGGGCATGCTCCGTGCGCTTGGTGAGCTCGTACGCTTGCCTCAGCGTTATTCCTGCTCCCATTGCGTAGATCGCGTTCCGCGCCGCTCCCCTTAGCTCCTCCTCCAGGCCTCTTACGAACTTCCGCACCAATAGGCGCTCGTCTTGGTTCTCCCAGTCCTCCGCTATGGTCTATTCTCCTACTACTCTAGCTATTGGTCTCACATTTACATTTAGTTCTTTGCTATGCTACTCATGCTAACTCTTATGTGTGATAGTGTGTCAACTTGTATTTGTATGTCTCTAGGCTATAGTGGGGCATACTCTAAGGGGTACAACACTTTAGGTCAAACCTAGTACTTGTACTCATCCTTGCATCCTAGTCAATCATTTCTACATACTATTTCTGACATGGTATTCAGAGCGGGTCCATCCGTAGGACCGCTCCGTTAGGGCCCACTGCTAGTTTAGACCTACCCAAACTACCCGTACTGCCCTGCCTGAAGAGCGTTCCTCACGCTGCCTTGCCTGCGCTGACCCACGCGCTCTACCCTGCCCACCGCGCTGCCCGCTTGCTGCCCAGCGCGCGACCCGCAATGGTAGCGTTGACAGATCCCTACTGGTTAGACTTCGTCAATGCGGAGATAACTCTATCAACGGGAGCTAGACTACGGGCTAGGCATGGAGTAGGAGGGATCTCTGCGTTCGTTCACTTAGTCGTTCTCTAGCACTTGTGTGTTCACAGGGCAAAACCGCAAGAGTTTCAATAGCAAAAGTTGAGAACAATTGGTTGCAACTAGATTGGCAAGATCGACTACATCAGAAGCCTAGCATACAAGTCGACCACCAGCTTAGCACGAAGGCGACTTGCCAGCTGGTCGACCTCAGGCATCCTCATGCGTCCTTAGTCGACCTGCCAGGCTGGCGTGCCAGCAGACCAACAACAGGCCACCACAGGTCACCACACGTGCTCATGTGTGCGCACCTACTTCGCAGGTGCAAGGTGATGGTAACGACATGCACCGCCACACACATTGTGCAGGTGCCAAGCCGACCATATGTCGACGGTTGCACCTGAGGAGTCCTGTTGACCACGTGCCTCCGAACCGCAGGTCGACACTGCCAATCTACTTGGGCGACAGTCGCGAACCTCGCAAACCTTGTCGTCCGGGTAACCTGGTCAACCAGGCAACCATGTCGACTAGGTGTGTCATCCCAGGCCCGTCGACCTGCGGTCGACGACCACCATATGTCGACCTCACGAAATCGACCACTCCCCTGGTCGACCAACTCCAGGTCGACAACCCACCTGGTCGACCAACTCCAGGTCGACCAGTACACCTGTCAACCGACCACATCCAGGCGGCTTCCCCTGGTCGGCGTCACCCAAGTCGACGCCCTCCACTGGTCGACCTCCCAAGTCGACCAGCCGAAGTTGGCGCCCTCCCAAAGTCGGCGCCCTTGCAGTGGCCCTTGTGCAGGTCGACCAGGCCCGTCGACCAGCTCGCCCACTGTTGCAGGTCGGCTGCACTCCTCACACCCGACCCCGAGGTCAGCTCCGCCCAAGCGAGGACGGGGCCATCAACAACTCTCGTTGACAGTCAATGCTTCGTCAAGCCACCGACAAACCATCAAAGACCGCGCCATTACGTACACTTTATTCAGGATTGTACTCCACAAGGGGAGATCATATTAACCATTAGGACTTTATACAGCAATAATCACTACTCTTCTTATAGGGTTTACGACTACATCAATAATCGAAGGGTTGTGTTGAGAATAATTTGAAAGTTAGGCATTCTCGTAAGTTTGAAATGGTTAGTGTAGTATCGAGTTATACAATAAGTAGCACTATCCGAGTGCTGACGTTTTGATGACCGTCTAGTCAACGCTGTGACGTCAGCGTACCATTTAGTCACGCGAACAGTCGCACATATTCACAGTGACGAATTGGTACCTTTTCTAGGCTATCACCTCAGGAAGGCTCGCACAGAGTTGATTGGTAGTGGTGGGCCCTTGACTTCAATTCAGAGTGGATGTAAAATGATTGAGATGGTTAAAAACATGCAGATACTGGAATATAAATAAGAGTACAGGGTGGAATATGGAACGACCTAGCTAGCCATGTACTCTAAGGGGTACATTCCCTTATTGCAACGAAACCCAACCATGCGACTCCAGACGGTTACGAACTGCTTGGGCAGAATCCTCGCCACTGCTGCTGCCTGATGCTGTCTGCCCTGACGGTCCAGATGCTTCGTAACCGTACGACCTTTGGCGTCCCTTTCGACTTTTCGTCTCCAACCTCGGTACTGCATGCTTCGCTTGCTACTGTCAGGAGTGGACAGTAACCAGGGCTGATTTTATCAGGGTAATTACCCTGATTTCAGGGTGATTTCAGGCTTTCCACTTCGCGGAGACTGAAATTTCAGAGTTATTGAATTTCCAGCCCTGATCCAATCAGAGTAATAGTTTAGCTATCCCTGATTTTGAGTACAGTGTAACAGACTAGGCTGTTAGTGGACCCTGACTTAACAGAGTATCGACTGTGTGGACCCTGACTTATCGAGAAGAAGTTTCTCGGAAGTTTCGTTCCGATGACCCCGCCTTGGATTGATCGCAGTGATCCCCCCGCATGTGCGTAATCCCCCCCCTTCCCGCTTTATCGAGACGAATTTTCTTCGAAACTTCATTCTGATACACCTATCATCGAAATCGCGTGAATGTGCAATGTCAGATATACTTTGCTGGGATTGGTCGAAATAGGCTCTGACAGCGGAAATCTGTGACTCTAACAGGTCAATCACATCCGCCCTGCACAAATCAGTCGAGTGTACAGCCAGCAGGAAACACAACGCGCAGACTTTATGGAGAGTGGGGATATTGTCCTCGGTAACAAAGCGCGCGTTACTACTCTGATGTTCAGTTCTCGACCCTGAACAATCAGTGTTAACTACTTTACAACCCTGAGCAATCAGGGTACTGCTTTTCTGGAAAATGTGCACCCATAATCGAGGGGGAAAATTTTCCCCGGAATCAGGGAGGCTTAAAATGAAACATCAGCCCTGACAGTAACACTTCATCTTTCACTATTCGTAACAACTACGATCCTAGAAACGCTTCTGCAAAGCATTTCAACACAAGTACAATATCCTATTTCCAGCACACTAGAATATTCCGCATCATTCATTGTATCGCCAGTCCGTATTGTCACGGCTTCTTTATTATTTATTCTGCGTAATTCTATTGAACAATTCATAGCAGGACCCTGCGGTCCCTGACAAAGGACTTTGTGGTAACAATAACAGCGTCAGCCACTGGTAACCTGTTTTCGCGAGCTGGAATATTGACTAGTCAGAAATATGCGTCACTTTGCCGAAGAAATCGCAGTGGCAGTGCAGTTTGGGACGGGAATCGCACACCGTTATATTGTATTGTTTGTGCTGTTTCGCGAAAGTTGTGCCTAACGCCTCACCTGGTCAACATGCTTTCAGGCAGTGCCAGATCACCTCCACGTCAGACAGCCGTGTTGGGTGTACTGGGCAGCCCAGATGCATGGGCTCACCTCATCGACTGAAATACGAGCAGCGCGCTCCATGAGTTACATTGTGTTGCCCAATCCGCACCGACGACTCGCTCGTTCCGCACGGGTCTAGCTTCTCCTAGTGCTCTGTCCGCCCCTTCTTCGCCATCGGCCAGTATTGCCGCTTTGCCTCACCGGCCCGCGCCCATGATCGCGGCGCCCATGATCGCCGCGTCCTTCTGGGCTCCGCCCGTCACGCCGTCGCCCTTCTCCGCGAAGTCCGTCCGCCACCCGCCGCACGCTCCCCGTGCCACGCTCTCCCAGTCTTGCGCCGCTCCTAGTGGCCTCTGCGCCGCTGCCCCGCAGAAGCTGCCCGCCAGCACGTCCACACGCAATGCGCGCGCAAGAGAGGAGAGCGAAATCGTGGAGCACCCGAGAGATGAGCGCCGGAGGGAGGAGGAGCGCAAGGTGGGGGAGCGCGGACGGGGGGAGCGCGGGCGAGAGGAGCGTGCAGGGAAAAAGCGAGGCGGAAATGGAGTGGCGGGCGGCGATGGGGAGACAAATGCGCGGAGGCGCAGGGAGCAGCGCAGGGCGAGGGAGCGCGCGCTGCTGAAGGCGCTGATGGCGGCGAGGTTGGGCGGACAGGCGACGGCGAGGGAGCGCGCAGCCGCTGCTGCGCGGATGGTAACTCCCGCGCTGATGCTTGCCGTGCGGCAGAATCAATTAGCGGGGGGAGCGGCATGGGCAGGTGGCGAGGGGGAGGTGGGAAGGATGGCGGAGGCGGCAGTAGAGGGCGCGCACGGCGAGCAACATGGCGGGGGAGAGGGAGGCGGAGAGGGAGAGGGGGAGGGGACATGGGAGGAGGAGGGGGAGGGAGCGGGAGAGGGAGAGTGGATGGGAGTGGAGGTGAATGTGCGGCACGTGATGGCTGCTGTGCAGGTGTGTGTGTGTGTGGGTGGGTGGGTGTGTGTGTGTGTGGGGGGGTGTGTGTGTGGGTGGGTGTGTGTGTGTGTGGGGGGGTGTGTCTGTGTGTGTGTGGGTGGGTGTGTGTGTGTGTGTGGGTGTGTGTGTGTGTGGGGGGGTGTGTGTGGTGTGTGTGTGTGTGTGTGTGTGTGTGTGCGTGTGTGTGTGCTCGTGTGTTTATGTGTGTGGCATTGTGTGTGTGTATGTGTGCGTGAGTGTGAGTGAGTGTGTGTGTGTGTATGTGTGTGCGAGTGTGTGTGTGTGAGTGTGAGTGAGTGAGTGTGTGTGTGTGTGTCTGTGTGTGTGTGTGCACCTCGTGAGGTGGCAGACTGGGCGGGAATGAGAGTCGTGGTTCAGGACTTGTGTTGCTCTCATCCCCCCATTCCCACATGCCCCACATGCCCCACATGCCCCACATGCCCCACATGCCCCACATGCCCCACATGCCCCACATGGCCTACATGGTTCATGCATGACACGCCCCCTCCCCACCCTAACCCCTGCCATGCGTGGGTGCAGGTGTGTGTGGGCGCGGGTGACATGGCGCGGGCAGAGCACCTGGTGCGCCTGGCGAGGGCGGCGGGGAGAGCAGCGCAGCCCAACTGCCGGGTGCTCACAGTGATGGCGCGCGGCTACTGCCAGGCGGGGCAGCGCCGACAGGCCTATGCGCTGCTGCAGGTCAGCCACGCCCGCCACTGCTGCAGGTCAGCCTGCACGCCACTGTGCCAGTATGTATGTTCACCACCCAATGCCCCATGCCTTCCGCCTCCCATATCTTCCCCCTCCCGTGCCTTTTACCCTCCAATACTCTCATGCCCCTTCCCCTCCCACAGCCAGCCCTTCCCCCTTCCAATGCCCCCCCTCCTCCCATGCCCTCCCCCGGACCATGCCCCGCCCCCTGCAGGAGATGGAGCAGAGGGGCCCGGCACCGGATGCAGCGGTGTTCCACGTGGTGATGGAGGGCGAGCGCCATGCGGAGGCCGTCACGGCGCTGCTGGCCGCCATGGCGCGCTGCCACGTGCCGCCCACCGAGAGGACCTTCAGGTGCGCCCCGCCATGCCGTGTCACCGTGGGCATGCTCCTCACAGCATGTCACCCTTTCCATGTCATGATGCACTGGTTCGTCCTGGGAGCAGCGGCTGAGCGATTTGCTCGTGCTGTCCACTCAATATCCATCCCCTCCCCCCACCGACCCCCCCTCCTGGGCAGTGTGGCAATGGCGTGCATGGGCCGGGCAGGGGACGTGGCGGCAGCGGAGGCGCTGTGGCGCCACATGACGGCCGCCCACATCCCCCCCTCGCCCTTCGCCTTCTGTGCCCTCGCCCATGGTGCGTGCTGCATGCGTGGTGCGTGCTGCATCTATGGTGGATTGAAGTGAAAGATTGGGTTTTGGCCAGATTCCTGTTCGGGGCTCCTTGCTCCCCGTGTGTGTGTTGTCGTTCGCTCCTCGTCCCCGAGCCCCCACCGCCCTCTCCCACCGTCAATCCATCATACCTCGTTGCTACCCAACCCCCACCATGCATGGCAGTGTACGGGCAGGCTGGCATGGTGGACAAGTGTGCTGACGTGGTGCAGCAGATGGAGAGAAGCCTCGGGCACAAGCGGAGATGGGAGGCACGCCGCACGGCGAGGACGGTGGAGAGCGGTGCCCTCAGAGACACGCCCAATTGGTCTGCCTCAGCTGGCGCCGTGGGGGCAAACAGAGGGGAGGGGGGAAGGATGGGCGCAGGGGAGGAGATCGGGGAGGTGGGAGGCATGGCAGGAGGGGCGGAGAGTGGTGGGGATGATGGTGTTGGGAGGGGGAGTGTGGGAATAAAGAGGCGAGGGCAAGGGAGAAGATTGCATGTGGCAGGGGTGGGGGAGGAGAGGGACGGCGCGGGGACGGAAGGTCAGCACAGCGAGCGGATGGCGGCGGCCAGGGGAGACACACACGCAACTAACAGGACATTGCTGACATCAGCACACAACATTCTGATTGGCGCCCATGCCGGGCGTGGCGATGCGGAGGCGGCCGTGGCGGTGCTGCGAGGGATGATGAGAGTGTGAGAAACTGAAGTGTTAGTATATTGATAAAGAAGAGCAGTACAAATAGGGAATGGGGTGAGTGACCAAAGTTAGGGTTACCCCACACCATTATTGGCTAACCAATGTGGTGGGGGTGCAGCCCAATAATTGAGGTTGAGCCAATTATTGGAGGAGCCAAACATTGGAGCGTTGGCCACCAATGTTGGCTCCCCAACAATAATGGTTGCTTGGGTTGTGGGAACCCAACCAGAAGTTGGGAGACCCCCTGAAGGCGTACACCCATGATTTGGGTGTACTCTGTTAGGTCTAGCCAAATGCATGCTATAATCTAACACACCCCCATAGCATGATAAGGGCTAGACCAAACAACCCCTGAAGCGAGGAACCGGTGTAGCGGTGACCTCGACAAGCAAGCATCTGTCCCTGCGGCGGATCATGTTGCACGCGGGGCTGCTGCAGGTGAAGAAGCCAGCCAAAGGGTGCTGCGGCGATGAGGTCGCACGCGAGCCGGAAGCGGGGGCTGCTGCAGGTGAGGAGGCAAGCAAGCCAAGGGCTGCTGCAGGTGATGAGGCAAGCAAGCCAAGGGCTGCTGCAGGTGAGGAGGCAAGCAAGCCAAGGGCTGCTGCAGGTGAGGAGGCAAGCAAGCCAAGGGCTGCTGCAGGTGAGGAGGCAAGCAAGCCAAGGGCTGCTGCAGGTGAGGAGGCAAGCAAGCCAAGGGCTGCTGCAGGTGAGGTTGCCGAAGGGTGCTGAAAGGCCCAACGAGGGAGGAGGCGAGTGGGGAGAAGGGCTGAAATGCCCTGAGGAGGAGGAAGCGAGGGGGGAGGAGGGCTAGAATGCCCTGAGGAGGAGGAAGCGAGGGGGGAGGAGGGCTGGAATGTCCTGAGGAGGAGGAAGCGAGGGGGTGGAGGGCTGGAATGCCCTGAGGAGGAGGAAGCGAGGGGGGAGGAGGGCTGGAATGCCCTGAGGAGGAGGAAGCGACGGGGAGGAGGGCTGAAATGCCCTTTGGAGGAAGCGAGGGGGAGGAGGGCTGAAATGCCCTGAGGAGGAGGAAGCGAGGGGGGAGGAGGGCTGGAATGCCCTGAGGAGGAAGCGAGGGGGGAGGAGGGCTGAAGTGCCCTGAGGAGGAGGAAGCGAGGGGGAGGAGGGCTGGAATGCCCTGAGGAGGAGGAAGCGAGGGGGAGGAGGGCTGAAGTGCCCTGAGGAGGAGGAAGCGAGGGGGGAGGAGGGCTGAAGTGCCCTGAGGAGGAGGAAGCGAGGGGGAGGAGGGCTGGAATGCCCTGAGGAGGAGGAAGCGAGGGGGAGGAGGGCTGAAATGCCCTGAGGAGGAAGTGAGGGGGGAGGAGGGCTGGAATGCCCTGAGGAGGAAGCGAGGGGGAGGAGGGCTGAAGTGCCCTGAGGAGGAGGAAGCGAGGGGGAGGAGGGCTGGAATGCCCTGAGGAGGAGGAAGCGAGGGGGAGGAGGGCTGAAATGCCCTGAGGAGGAAGTGAGGGGGGAGGAGGGCTGGAATGCCCTGAGGAGGAAGCGAGGGGGAGGAGGCCTGAAATGCCCTGAGAAGGAGGAAGCGAGGGGGGAGGAGGGCTGGAATGCCCTGAGGAGGAAGCGAGGGGGAGGAGGGCTGAAGTGCCCTGAGGAGGAGGAAGCGAGGGGGAGGAGGGCTGGAATGCCCTGAGGAGGAAGCGAGGGGGAGGAGGGCTGAAGTGCCCTGAGGGGGAGGAAGCGAGGGGGAGGAGGGCTGGATTGCCCTGAGGAGGAGGAAGCGAGGGGGAGGAGGGCTGAAATGCTCTGAGGAGGAGGAAGCGAGGGGGGGAGGAGGGCTGGAGTGCCCTGAGGAGGAGGAAGCGAGGGGGGAGGAGGGCTGAAGTGCCCTGAGGAGGAGGAAGCGAGGGGGGAGGAGGGCTGAAATGCCCTGAGGAGGAGAAAGCGAGGGGAGATGCGGAAGCGAGGGGGAGAGGAGGGCTGTATGGCCCTTAGGAGGAGGAAGCGAGGGGGGAGGAGGGCTGGAAGGCCCTGAGGAGGAGGAAGCGAGGGGAGAGAAGGCCTGGAGGGCTTAAGGAGGAGAGCGGGGAGAGGAGGAGGCGGTGGGAGTGTGGGGTGAGTTGGCGGCGGCTAGTAGTCGTGGCCGCGGAGGTGAGAGCGGCGAAGACGTCGTCGTAAGGGTCGCGGCAGCAGCAGGCGGCGACGATGGTACATCGCGACGGCGTGAGGCCGCGACATGAGACCGCGGCGGCTATGTAAGGGTGTGGTGGTGAAAGTGGTAGCAGCTGCAGCAAGAGGCGACGAAAGCAGGTCGCGTGGGCGGAAGATTGCTCCGCGTCGGCGAAATGCAGTGGCGGCGGCGGATTAGGTCACGACGAGCGCCCGCGTTCGTCGTGGCCGTGGTGCCCGTCCGCGATTTAGGTCACGAGGGTCAACGTGGCCGTCCCGACGGTCGCGCTGGCCGTCCTGACGGTCTCGCTGGCCGTCCTGACGGTCGCGCTGGCCGTCCCGACGGTCGCGCTGGCCGTCCCGTCGGTCGCGCTGGCCGTCCGGACGGTCGCGCTGGCCGTCCCGACGGTCGCGCTGGCCATCCCGACAGTTGCGCTGGCCGTCCTGACGGTCGCGCTGGCCGTCCCGACGGTCGCGCTGGCCGTCCCGTCGGTCGCGCTGGCCGTCCGGACGGTCGCGCTGGCCGTTCCGACGGTCGCGCTAGCCGTTCCGACGGTTGGCGTGGCCGTTCCGACGGTGGGCGCGTTCGTGGGAGAGAGGGGAGGGCCGTGAGAGGCGGAATTGACCGTAGGAAGGGGGGAGGGGCGCTGGAACTTTAGCGCAAGGGTAGGGGGGTCGTGACGGCGTAGGAGCGACGTAGCGTCACGTAAGGGAGGGGGGCGTGATGCGGCACGCGGAAGGTGCGGTCCTTAGGATCGAAGATGGTGTCAGCCGTAGTTGCTCTGATTACCATGTGAGAAACTGAAGTGTTAGTATATTGATAAAGAAGAGCAGTACAAATAGGGAATAGGGTGAGTGACCAAAGTTAGGGTTACCCCACACCATTATTGGCTAACCAATGTGGTGGGGGTGCAGCCCAATAATTGAGGTTGAGCCAATTATTGGAGGAGCCAAACATTGGAGCATTGGCCACCAATGTTGGCTCCCCAACAATAATGGTTGCTTGGGTTGTGGGAACCCAACCAGAAGTTGGGAGACCCCCTGAATGCGTACACCCATGATTTTGGGTGTACACTGTTAGGTCTAGCCAAATGCATGCTATAATCTAACAGAGAGGGGGCAGAGGTGGGTGCTGCGAGGGATGATGAGAGGGGGCAGAGGTGGGTGCTGCGAGGGATGATGAGAGGGGGCAGAGGTGGGTGCTGCGAGGGATGAGACGCAGAGGTGGGTGCTGAGAGGGATGGGACGCAGAGGTGGGTGCTGAGAGGGATGAGACGCAGAGGTGGGTGCTGAGAGGGATGAGACGCAGAGGTGGGTGCTGAGAGGGATGGGACGCAGAGGTGGGTGCTGAGAGGGATGAGACGCAGAGGTGGGTGCTGAGAGGGATGAGACGCAGAGGTGGGTGCTGAGAGGGATGAGACGCAGAGGTGGGTGCTGAGAGGGATGAGACGCAGAGGTGGGTGCTGAGAGGGATGGGACGCAGAGGTGGGTGCTGAGAGGGATGAGACGCAGAGGTGGGTGCTGAGAGGGATGAGACGCAGAGGTGGGTGCTGAGAGGGATGGGACGCAGAGGTGGGTGCTGAGAGGGATGAGACGCAGAGGTGGGTGCTGAGAGGGATGAGACGCAGAGGTGGGTGCTGAGAGGGATGAGACGCAGAGGTGGGTGCTGAGAGGGATGAGACGCAGAGGTGGGTGCTGAGAGGGATGGGACGCAGAGGTGGGTGCTGAGAGGGATGAGACGCAGAGGTGGGTGCTGAGAGGGATGAGACGCAGAGGTGGGTGCTGAGAGGGATGGGACGCAGAGGTGGGTGCTGAGAGGGATGAGACGCAGAGGTGGGTGCTGAGAGGGATGAGACGCAGAGGTGGGTGCTGAGAGGGATGAGACGCAGAGGTGGGTGCTGAGAGGGATGAGACGCAGAGGTGGGTGCTGAGAGGGATGGGACGCAGAGGTGGGTGCTGAGAGGGATGAGACGCAGAGGTGGGTGCTGAGAGGGATGAGACGCAGAGGTGGGTGCTGAGAGGGATGAGACGCAGAGGTGGGTGCTGAGAGGGATGAGACGCAGAGGTGGGTGCTGAGAGGGATGGGACGCAGAGGTGGGTGCTGCGAGGGATGAGACGCAGAGGTGGGTGCTGAGAGGGATGGGACGCAGAGGTGGGTGCTGAGAGGGATGAGACGCAGAGGTGGGTGCTGAGAGGGATGAGACGCAGAGGTGGGTGCTGAGAGGGATGGGACGCAGAGGTGGGTGCTGAGAGGGATGAGACGCAGAGGTGGGTGCTGAGAGGGATGAGACGCAGAGGTGGGTGCTGAGAGGGATGAGACGCAGAGGTGGGTGCTGAGAGGGATGAGACGCAGAGGTGGGTGCTGAGAGGGATGGGACGCAGAGGTGGGTGCTGAGAGGGATGAGACGCAGAGGTGGGTGCTGAGAGGGATGAGACGCAGAGGTGGGTGCTGAGAGGGATGGGACGCAGAGGTGGGTGCTGAGAGGGATGAGACGCAGAGGTGGGTGCTGAGAGGGATGAGACGCAGAGGTGGGTGCTGAGAGGGATGAGACGCAGAGGTGGGTGCTGAGAGGGATGGGACGCAGAGGTGGGTGCTGAGAGGGATGAGACGCAGAGGTGGGTGCTGAGAGGGATGAGACGCAGAGGTGGATGCTGAGAGGGATGAGACGCAGAGGTGGGTGCTGAGAGGGATGAGACGCAGAGGTGGGTGCTGAGAGGGATGGGACGCAGAGGTGGGTGCTGAGAGGGATGAGACGCAGAGGTGGGTGCTGAGAGGGATGCAAGCTTGCCTTGCTGTGGCTCAAGGGATTGTGTTCCCCCCATGTGCACCCCCCCATGTTTCCCACCCAGGACTGCACCCATGCATGCGCACCTTCAACGCAGCAGCGCACGCGTGCATGCGGGCGAGGCGGGTGGAGCGTGCCGTGCGCTTGCTGGGGGAGGCGCAGCGCCACGGGCTGGCTCCCACTGCTGCCACCTTCGCCCTCCTCATTGTGAGCCCAGCACGCAAAGGGTGAAGGCGAGCACCGTGCGTCATTGCAAGGCTCGAGAAATGTCCGCCTCCTGTCGAGTCCTTCCCTTGTCCGCATAGCCAGGTCTCAAGTCCTTCCCTTGTCCGCATAGCCAGGTCTCAAGTCCTTCCCTTGTCCGCATAGCCAGGTCTCAAGTCCTTCCCTTGTCCGCACAGCCAGGTCTCAAGTCCTTCCCTTGTCCGCATAGCCAGGTCTCAAGTCCTTCCCTTGTCCGCATAGCCAGGTCTCAAGTCCTTCCCTTGTCCGCATAGCCAGGTCTCAAGTCCTTCCCTTGTCCGCATAGCCAGGTCTCAAGTCCTTCCCTTGTCCGCATAGCCAGGTCTCAAGTCCTTCCCTTGTCCGCATAGCCAGGTCTCAAGTCCTTCCCTTGTCCGCATAGCCAGGTCTCAAGTCCTTCCCTTGTCCGCATAGCCAGGTCTCAAGTCCTTCCCTTGTCCGCATAGCCAGGTCTCAAGTCCTTCCCTTGTCGCCTCCCCTCCCTGTCCCTGCCCCCCGAGCAGCAAGCAGCAGGGCACATGCGGCGGGCGGGCATGGTGGAAGCAGCGCTGCACCGCATGGCACTCGCCGCCTGCCCACATGATGCTGTGGTCAGCCGCCCGCCTCCCAGCCACCCCTTCTCACTCACTTCCCATGCACTCACTGCATGCAATGCAACATTCCATGTGTTAGCTCTTCTGCTGGCACCACCGTATCAGCATTGTTGAACGGCGTCCAGCTGGTACCACGCTCAACCTGACCTCACCTGTCGCCCCTCTTCCTTCTGCTCCCCCCTCCCCCGCCCCCCACCCCATCAGACGTACCGCAGTGCGGTGTATGCGTGGGTGCGGTGTGGCGAGGGCGGGTGGGCACTGGAGGTGCTGCAGGAGATGGTGGCGGCCGGCCACCCGCCCGCCATGACCGTGCCAGACGTGCTCATCAAGGTGTGCCCGCCGTAAAGCTTCATGACGAGCAGTTGATTATATTAGGGATTCAACAGAGGAAGAGAAACCTAAAGCTTGAGGAAGAACGGTTGTTTGTATGGGTACAATAAAGACAACCTAAATCAAATCAGTTGGAATCGAACTCAACCGTGGTTTGATCAATTTTCTCCTCCCTATCCTACACGTTCTGCAATGGAATAAAGAATCAGCCAACTGTCTTAATGGTTCTCGTTACCGCATGTGTCGCTGCTGTTGTCGGTTTGCATCTTGATTTCACTGAGCCCAGCCACGCCTTCTCAATGACGTACCCTCAGGTGTGCCAACCTGCCCCCTCTGCCCCCGTGGCCGTCCAGAGTGTGGACGGCTCTTTGCTGCTCGAGTGCACGCGGGCAGCACCTGACGGCAATCTCAAGAATTTCCTGCTGGAGATGAAAGGCGCTGGTGAGAGGGATGCTCATTGTTACATACTCAATCTTTATGTCGTTAAGGAAAACGTGGGTGCATATGAGACGAAGTTGAGGCGAATTTGGTGAAGTACCCAAGGCACTGTTATTGGTGCACCAATGAGAATGGTCATCAAATAATTTGGGCTGACTGTCAAACAATGGAGGGGGATCAATAATGGTTATGATGAACCAACCAAGTTGGTTCCCCCCCGTCAATTGCTGTTGAGTGGGTTTGTGGCGCACTCCCAAAATTCATTGGGGTGCCTTGGCCCAAAGTGTAGACCCACTTTTGGGTGTTACACTTGCACGATTATAACACAGTTATGCTATAATCTAACACTGATAAGATATAGCACGTCAACGTGACTGCTTTCCACGCAGTTGCTGAATACGGCACAACAATGTTTGTAAAAGGCGACGGATCCCGAACAGAGGTTTTAATAGTGCACTAAATCTCAACCCTAGGTTCTCAATGAAACATGAGCAAACCCCAAATCCTTCACCATGTTTGCAGGGCGAATGGAACATGTTCAGTTGGACCCGAACACATGCCGCAAGGGGGTGTGTTCGGGTGTTGGCCCGTAGAGGCAAACACATTGATGTTTGCCTCGACCACCAACTTGTTCGTGTTTGTTCAAGGCTTAGGGTTAAGGTTCTGTGTTTAGGGAATTAGGATTGAGGGTTCAAGGTTTACTGTGAATGAAAATGAGCATCGAATGAGTGTTCCACTAGCATGTTCTCGAACAGTCAAGCACTTCGCTGTTTGACGCGGCTCGGCCGCTTCGTTCAAAAGAACCGAACAGGTTGGGGCAATCAATCCCTCCGCCCCCCACTGTTCAGTTCGATTCAAGTCTAATCGAACAGGGTTTTGCCATTTTGCCCAACTCTACTTGAGGGTACAGTGTGCTCATGGTTGCGCTCTTGTCCCAATGCTCTCTTGTTTGCTGGGTTCAAACACGTACAGCTTCACCTAATTTTTGGCTGTGTTGCATTAGGCCATAGCTTGCGCTGTTTTATACGATGGCTGACATTGTATGGTTTTTTTCCCCACCCTTTGGAAAGGGTTTCACTTGAGTATGAGATGGGGTTCATTCGATGGTAATGGTCCATGTTCACCGCGCTCTACCTCTCATTGGGCCTTCACCCCAAACTCCTGCTACTCTCCACATTCGCATTCCAACTTTTCTCTCGCCTCTTTGCTTCCATGGCTCCTAGCAAGCATGGCACCAGGCTCCTAAGCATACCGTGACATCACCTTGCAACAAGCCAGCACTATGCTCAATGCTCTTCGTCTTGCCTTCTTTCTTTCCGTCGAATCACTCTTCTGACGCAGCCCCTTCTAGTTCATCCCGTGTCCTCCCTTTCTAACCCATCTCCACCACTCTCGGTGTGTCTGTCTGTCTGTGTGTGCACCCCACAGGGCTCACCCCCACTGCGTCCACATCAGCACATCTCGTGCAGCTCCTCGCCTCCTCGCACTCACCCGCCCAAGCGCTTGGTAAAACGCCCTCTCACACCGCCTACCCACTCCCGTTGCCACCTGCTCGCCCCCCGCACCCCATGCTCGCCCGCAGCACCCCATGCGCGCCCCCAACAACCCATGCGTGCCCCCAGCACCCCATGTGCGCCCCTCCCTGTCGGCCCGTGCATGTCCAACAGATGCCGCCCACGAGCTGGCAGCAGCTGGGGTGGGCCAGCTGGGAGACGCCACGTGGCATGCAATAGGGCAGGCTGTGTGGCACATGTCTCACCGCAAACCCCACGAGGTAAGGCTTCTCAACCCTCATGGCATACGGCACACACAGCCATGCTGCACACACAGCCATGCCGCTCGCACACACAGTCATGCTGCACACACAGCCATGCCGCACACATAGCCATGCTGCACACACAGCCATGCCGCACACACAGCCATGCCGCACACACAGCCATGCCGCACACACAGCCATGCCGCACACACAGCTATGCTGCACACACAGCCATGCCGCACACACAGCCATGCCGCACACACAGCCATGCCGCACACACAGCCATGCCGCACACACAGCCATGCCGCACACACAGCCATGCCGCACACACAGCCATGCCGCACACACAGCCATGCCGCACACACAGCCATGCCAGCATGTATTCTCTTCACATCGCCCTGTGGCTCGCCTGTGCACCTCTCGCCTGTACCCCCTTGCCCATCTCTCCACATGCCTGCAGGCCGCCCTCGCAGCCCAGCGCCTACTGGCGGCCGTGGAGGCTGACGGCTGCGCTGTGAGCAGGTGAGGCGGGAGGTGAGGCGAGAGATGAGGCGAGAGGTGAGGCGAGAGGTGAGGCGAGGGGTGAGGCGGGAGGTGAGGCGCGAGGTGAGGCGAGAGGTGAGGCGAGAGGTGAGGCAAGAGGTGAGGCGCGAGGTGAGGCGCGAGGTGAGGCGCGAGGTGAGGCGAGAGGTGAGGCGCGAGGTGAGGCGCGAGGTGAGGCGAGAGGTGAGGCGAGAGGTGAGGCGAGAGGTGAGGCGAGGGGTGAGGCGGGAGGTAGGCGGGAGTTGAGGCGAGAGGTGAGGCGAGGGGTGAGGCGGGAGGTAGGCGGGAGGTGAGGCGAGAGGTGAGGCGAGAGGTGAGGCGAGAGGTGATGCGAGAGGTGAGGCGGGAGGTGAGGCGAGAGGTGAGGCGAGAGGTGAGGCAGGAGGTGAGGCGAGGGGTGAGGCGAGAAGTGAGGCGGGAGGTGAGGCGAGGGGTGAGGCGGGAGGTGAGGCGCGAGGTGAGGCGAGAGGTGAGGCGAGAGGTGAGGCGCGAGGTGAGGCGAGAGGTGAGGCGCGAGGTGAGGCGAGAGGTGAGGCGAGAGGTGAGGCGCGAGGTGAGGCGAGAGGTGAGGCGCGAGGTGAGGCGAGAGGTGAGGCGAGAGGTGAGGCGAGAGGTGAGGCGAGTGGTGAGGCGGGAGGTAGGCGGGAGGTGAGGCGAGAGGTATGGCGAGGGGTGAGGCGGGAGGTAGGCGGGAGGTGAGGCGAGAGGTTAGGCGAGAGGTGAGGCGAGAGGTGAGGCGAGAGGGAGAGGTGAGGCGGGAGGTGAGGCGAGTGTCAGAAGAATGAACGAGAATGGATGAACTATGAAAGAGTTGTGTACAAGTACTAACCCTAATTGGGTTGTACCCCTTATGGGCTACCCCACTATAGCCTACACAAATGTAAGCACTATAATATTCTGACACACCCCCATAGGCAAAGTGGGGGAGAACAAGTGGTCACAAGACCAGTTAAGAAAAGCAAAGCAAGCTCAGGGTGGATCACAAAGTCACCACACAGTCCGAGCACAAGCAAAGGGCCACAAGGCTAGTTCACATGCAGAGTTATTTAAAAGAGAACAAACAATACAGTGATCATACCCTAGCAAGTGTAAGCATGCAGGTATATGTATAGATCACAATACAAGCAAAGTCACGCAGTGAGCAAGTGAGGCAAAATAGGCACAAGGCCTAACATTGTAGAGAAGCGCTGATGATCACCAGGCGGAAGTGCCTTGGTGAATATATCAGCAGTGTTGGCCCGAGTGGCCACGTACGCAAGACGAAGCTGGCCACGCTGCTGCAACTCTCGAGCAAGGAAGTATCGCAGAGCGATGTGCTTCGTTCTGTGCTCCAGTCTGTGCTCCTGACACAAGGCAATCATGGCCTTGTTGTCTACGTACAGAACTGGAGGCGAACGAGGCTGCTCTCCCAAGTCAGTCAGCAGGTAGGTGAGCCAGCGTAGCTCCTGTGCAGCCATGGCCCCTGCATAGATCTCAGCCTCACAACTAGAGCTGAGAACCGAAGACGAGAAGGTAGACCGCCAGGAAACAGAGCCGGAACCGAGGCTGAAGGTGTAACCCTGTGACGACCGCTGCGTAGCTGAGTCGTCAACCCATGAAGCGTTTGCGTGACCGGTGAGGACAACTGGACCCCGTCCTCAAGGCACGAGCCCCATGCTCGACGTACTGCACAAGTAACGCAGTACCCTCTTCACAGCATCCCAGTGCACCTTTCGGTGCCTACCGGGAGCCACGTAGCGAGCCACGAGGCTGAGAGAGTACGCGAGGTCAGGTCGTGTGCACGTCATCAGGTACATGAGGCAACCCACAAGCTCTAGGTACGGACCACTTGGCTCTACGGACTCGTCCGAAGGTGGAGCTGAGAGCGAGTGGCCGGTAGACAGAGGAGTGGGCTGTGGCGAGGAGAACTGGAAGCCGAAGCGCTGAAGGACCTAGTGCTCCATGTGTGACTGAGTCACAGTGATGGTGCGCCGTGCTTTATCCCGGGTGATCTGCAAGCCAAGATAGCTGCGCATTTCACCCAGGTCAGTGCAGTTGTGTCTCTTCTGCAGCTCCGATTTCACAAGGGTCAGTGCCCCAGTGTCAGCAGTGGCAAAGACCAGGTCGTCAACGTAGACGAGGACGTAGAACGGCGGCAGCGACGTGCCGGTGCGTAGAAACAGCGACGGGTCAGCAGTAGGAGCCGCAAGTGTAGTCCTCCTCAGTGTGTCGTGCCACTCGCGAGGCGCCTGACGGAGACCGTAGACTGGCCGCCGGTTCCTCCACTGGGTACCTGCAGGAAACGACCCAGTGAAGCCAGGTGGGCGGCGCAGCCAGATCTCCTCGTGCAGGCTGCCCTGCAAGAAAGCTGTGCTGAAGTCCAGAGAATGCAACTCGTAGTCACGCTGAGCAGCAACGTGCAGCAACACCCGAAGAGTGGTCATCTTCGGGGTGGGGGAGAAGGTCTGGAAGTAGTCGACCCCCTGTCGCTGACTGAAGCCTCTAGCAACGTAACGCGCCTTGAAAGCAAGCGGAGAACCCGGCGGCCGCTTCACCCTGAAAATCCACATGCCATCGACTATGTTCGCCCGAGACGGGGGAACTGCGTCGACGTAGGTGCCTTTGGACTTCCAGGATGCCATCTCGGGATCCATGGCTGTCTGCCACTGGGAGGAGTAAAGACCCGTAATCGCCTCTGCGTAAGAGCGCGGGGTCGGGATGTCTGGTGCATCCGGGTCTCCCTCAAGGGCAAACAGCATGGAAGCGAAACGAGGTACAGCAGCTGCAAGACACTCAAAGTCCTCCTGCCTGTCCTCAAGGACGTCCGTGCCAAGAGCACATTCACCCCCGACGGACGGAGGACTGGCAGACTCAGACTCAGCAACAAGAGCAGCGGCGTAGTCTAGACGACAGGCAGTAGCAAAGTCAACCAGCTCAGCAACGAGGGCAGACGCAGCAGCGGACTCAAAAGCAGGGTCAGTGACAACAGTGGCGAGGAGACGAGAGATAGTGGGACTGGCAGCACGGGCGAGGTCAGACGCAGGGTCAGGGACAGCAGGAAGAGAGGACGCAGGAGGAGGCGGCAAAGGAACACGCAGTGGAACAGAGGAAGGACTAAATGCCATAGCGTTGGTGCCGGGGACAGGAGGAGGACGCGAACGAGGAACGCGACGAGCAGGGCGAACAGGCGAGAGAGGACGAGACGCAGGCTCACGACGCTCTGTAAGTCCTCCGGTCTGCTCAGTGTAGGGAGAAGGGACAGACAGTGGGAAGGCTGGCTGTAACGGCAGCTGTGACTGGTCAGGCGGTGGACACAGCAAGGGAGGAGTAAGGCCAGTAGAAGACGGGAGACCAAGAACGAAGTACTGTCGCGGCCGCAGAGTGCCTCCAGCACCAGTACCGCCAGACACAGCACCTCCAGCTCCAGGGTCTCCAGCTCCAGCCCCAGCGCCACCAGCGCCAGTGCCTCCACCTCCAGCTCCAGGGTCAACAGCTCCAGCTCCAGTGCCACCAGGCTTCGCAGGGTCTCCTGCTCCAGCCCCTCCAGCTCCAGTGCCCCCAACACCGCCAGTCCCGGCAGCTCCAGTACCCTTGGTACGAGCACCTCTTGGACCAGTCGCAGCAGCACCTCCGGTACCTCCAACTCCAGTGTCTCCAGCGGCAGAGGCTCGAGCTCCGGCTGCTCCACTCCGAAGGCGGGCGCGTCGAGTAAGCCACTCATGCAGCTGCAGCGGGGAGAGAGGCTCCGGTCGGGGAGACAGTCGCGGCGAAGCACCCGCAGGACCTCCAGACGAAGCAGAACCCCGAGGCTCAGCACCCCCAGACACCGCACCCTCAGACTCAGCACCCCCAGGCTCAACACCCTCAGGCTCTGCACCCCCAGGCTCCACACCCGCAGGCTCAGCACCCCTAGGCTCCGCACCCCCAGGCTCAGCACCCCCAGACCCGGCACCCTCAGACTCAACGCCCCCAGGCTCCGCACCCCCAGGCTCCACACCCCCAGACGCAGCACCTCGAGCAGCACCGGAGTCGCCAACTACCTCAACAGGCACAGTACCAGGGAGAGGGTCTACCTGAGACACACCTGAGGGAGCAGGACCCTGGGGCGGGAGGGGGTCTACCGGAGGGGGACCGGGAGCAAGGAAGAGCGGCGGGGGCGGGGGAGGGGCAGAGGGGTAGGGGAAGAGATGGTAAAAGGGAACCGACTCGTCAAACGTGACGTCCTGAGAGGGGAGGACACGGCGCGAGGTGGGGTGGTAAAACTGTCAGCCAGACGCGTCAGGGGGAAAGCCAAGGAAGACGCAGGGAATAGCACGGGCGGAGTGCTTGTCCGCAGACGTATCGCGGACAAAGGCACGAGAGCCTCAGACCTGGAACACTGACGCATCGCCAACCTTCCCCGTCCAACGCAGTGTAGGCGAGGTTTCCGACAAGGAGACACGAGGCCAGAGGTTGAGCTGATGCGCAGCGTACCGGACCGCAAACGGCCACAGAAAATGGGGGGCAACCGCATGGATCATGGAGGTACGAGCGACCTCCATGACTAAGCCAATGCGACGTTCAGCAATCCCATTCTGCTGCGGAGAGGCCGGAAACGTGAACGATTGGGTGATGCCCTCCCCATGACAAAAGTCCCTTAAGAGGTCGGAGGAGAACTCGCCACCTCTGTCAGAGTGCAGGCGCAGGACAGGAAGGTCTTGGCCGAAACGCTCGCCCAGCTGTAGACGGACCGCGCGGATCCAAGGGATCAAAACATCAGGGACCTCACCCTTCCTGCGCAAGGGGAAGACCGTGGTGTAACGCGTGTAGTCGTCAACAACCAGCAAGAAGTAGCGCTCGCGGCCCTGTCCATTGACGCGGGCGGGGTCCCACACGTCCATGTGGAGAGTCTGCAGGGGAGCAGTCGTCGGGGGAAACGAGGAGGAGTGAGGAGCGGCGCGCTGCCGCCCCTCGACGTAAGGAAGGCAGGGCGGGGCAGGCGAAGGCGGGAAAGGAGGCAGAGACCTGGGAAGACCAGAGACAAGGAGGCGGGAGTGCATGCCACGCAGGCGTGGCAGGGAGGGGTGACCAAGGCGGTGGTGCCAGACGAGAGTCTGGTGCGACAGGAGGCGACACGAGCAAGGGGGTGCTACCTGACCTGACGCGGACACCTGAGCACACCTGAGGAGGCTCAGTAGCCAGTGTGTACAGACTTGACCCTGGCCGACGAGTGAACGTGGCCAGGTGACAGCCCGTCCGTGCACACGTGCAGATCGACACACGCTGACCCCCAGGAGTGGTGGTAGTGACCATCGTATCTTAGAGGGCAGCTGTACTCACGAAGTTCGGAGAGAACGAGGGGAGGTGAAGACCTGACAGTGAGCCGGACAGAACTGCCGGACACGGGAGAACAGTGGGGGACCTGTCAACGACTGAGCCCCCTGAGGGGTCAGCCAGTCTGACTGGTACAGGCGCAGAGAGAGGAGTGAGGGTGGTGCTATCGCGAAAGAAACAGCGTGAAGCACCAGAGTAAAGCGTAAAGGTGTGCAAGGCCTCGGCAGGCGCAGTACTAGGGAGAGCAGACTCACTAGCACCTAGAGCAGCAACCTCTATACCTGGGTCAGGCAATAACACAAAGAACAGTCACCCTCAGTACCAAGAGTCAAAGCATACATGGCAGTGAGGATAGCGTCATAGTCTAGAGCAAAGATATCCACACCCTGCCTAAGCAGCTCTAGCCAGCAGGGAAGCTCAGCCGCGTCGCCAAACTCTGCACGCCAGGTGTCGCTCAAACAGCGGAAGCAACGGGACTGTGTGTGACCAACTGTCCCGCAAGTCTGACCAGCCCGATCACCTGTGCGAATGACGTACGGGCAGTGAGCACTACTCCGAGACGCCCCACGCTAAACGTACCACTCATGAAGCTGCTGAGGCGTAAGGGTCTCGCGCGGACGCCGCTGCAGCTGCTCCAGGCCACCGCCAGAAACCCCCAACTGAACAGCCGCACAGCGACTGCCACTACTGCCGCCGCCACCTCTCCTACTAGCGTACCCATCACGTAGCTGCTGGAGTGGAAGGGACTCGCGCTGACGCCGCTGCAGCCGCATCTGGCCACCGCCAGAAACTCCCCACCGAACAGCTCCACAACGACTGCTAGGATGGCCGCCACCACTCCCTCTGCTGCCACCACCGCCGTCACCACTCCCACCGCTACGACGAAGAGAAGTTATAGCGGGCAAGCTAGGCGGCGCGCGGGGCGGCAGGGGCTGCAAGAGGGTCGCAAGGGGCGGCGAGGGCCTTAGGGGATAGGGGTGACGGGCCGGGGCCTAGGGGCCGACGGGCAACGGGCCTAGGGGTGAGGGGAGACGGGCCAGGGCCGGGGCTAGGGGCGACGGGCCCAGGAGCGACAGGCGTCGGGTCGGGGCCTAGGGGCGATGGGCGACGGGTCGGGGCTAGGAGCGACGGGACGGGGCGGCTAGGGGGCGACAGGCGACGGGCCGGGGCCTAGGGGCGACGGGCTACGTGCGACGTGCCTAGGGGCGACGGGCGACGGGCCGGGGCCTAGGGGCGACAGGCGACGGGCCGCGGCTAGGGGCGACGGGCCGAGGGGCGACGGGCGTCGAGCGACGGGCCGGGGCCTAGGTGCGACGGGCCGAGGGGCGACGGGCGACGAGCGACGGGCCGGGGCCTAGGGGCGACGGGCGACGGACCTAGGGGCGACGGGCCAGGGCCTAGGGGCGACGGGCGATGGGCCAGGGCTCGGGGTAACGGGCCGAAGGGCGAGGGGCCACAGGCGACGGGCAACGAGCCGGGGCCTAGGGGCGACGGGCGACGGGCGACGGGCCGCGGCTAGGGGCGACGGGCGACAGGCCAGGGCCTAGGGGCGAAGGGCGACGGGCCGGGGCCTAGGGTCGAATGGCAGGCCGCACGAGGGCAGCGCGCTGGGCAGCAAGTGCGGCACGAGGGTCGCTAGGAACGGCGCGTGATCCAGCAGGGCGGCTAGTGGGGCAGCGCTGTGGTGGGCCCAAAAACAATCGCTCATAACGAAGGACCTGCTCCGAAACCATGTCAGAAGAATGAACGAGAATGGATGAACAATGAAAGAGTTGTGTACAAGTACTAACCCTAATTGTGTTGTACCCCTTATGGGCTACCCCACTATAGCCTACACAAATGTAAGCACTATAACATTCTGACAGCGAGAGGTGACGCGGGAGGTGAGGCGGGAGGTGAGGCGAGGGGTGAGACGGGAGGTGAGGCGGGAGGTGAGGCGAGGGTTGAGGCGGGAGGTGAGGCGAGAGGTGAGGCGAGAGGTGAGGCGAGGGGTGAGGCGGGAGGTAGGCGGGAGGTGAGGCGAGAGGTGAGGATAGGGGTGAGGCAGGTGGTAGGCGGGAGGTGAGGCGAGAGGTGAGGCGGGAGGTGAGGCGAGAGGTGAGGCGAGAGGTGAGGCAGGAGGTGAGGCGAGGGGTGAGGCGAGAGGTAAGCGGGAGGTGAGGCGAGAGGTGAGGCGAGAGGTGATGCGAGAGGTGAGGCGATAGGTGAGGCGAGAGGTGAGGCGAGAGGTGAGGCGGGAGGTGAGGCGAGGGGTGAGGCAAGAGGTGAGGCGGGAGGTGAGGCGAGGGGTGAGGCGGGAGGTGAGGCGCGAGGTGAGGCGAGAGGTGAGGCGAGAGGTGAGGCGAGAGGTGAGGCGAGAGGTGAGGCGGGAGGTAGGCGGGAGGTGAGGCGAGAGGTGAGGCGAGGGGTGAGGCAGAAGGTAGGCGGGAGGTGAGGCGAGAGGTGAGGCGAGAGGTGAGGCGAGAGGTGAGGCGAGAGGTGAGGCGAGAGGTGAGGCGGGAGGTGAGGCGAGACGTGACGCGGGAGGTGAGGCGGGAGGTGAGGCGAGGGGTGAGGCGGGAGGTGAGGCGCGAGGTGAGGCGAGAGGTGAGGCGAGAGGTGAGGCGCGAGGTGAGGCGCGAGCTGAGGCGCGAGGTGAGGCGAGAGGTGAGACGCGAGGTGAGGCGCGAGGTGAGGCGCGAGGTGAGGCGCGAGGTGAGGCGTGAGGTGAGGCGCGAGGTGAGGCGCGAGGTGAGGCGAGGGGTGAGGCGAGGGGTGAGGCGGGAGGTAGGCGGGAGGTGAGGCGAGAGGTGAGGCGAGAGGTGATGCAAGAGGTGAGGCGGGAGGTGAGGCGAGAGGTGAGGCGAGAGGTGAGGCTGGAGGTGAGGCGAGGGGTGAGGCGAGAGGTGAGGCGGGAGGTGAGGCGAGGGGTGAGGCGGGAGGTGAGGCGCGAGGTGAGGCGAGAGGTGAGGCGAGAGGTGAGGCGCGAGGTGAGTCGCATGGTGAGGCGCGAGGTGAGGCGCGAGGTTAGGCGCGAGGTGAGGCGAGAGGTGAGGCGAGAGGTGAGGCGAGAGGTGAGGCGAGGGGTGAGGCGGGAGGTAGGCGGGAGGTGAGGCGAGAGGTGAGGCGAGGGGTGAGGCAGGAGGTAGGCGGGAGGTGAGGCGAGAGGTGAGGAGAGAGGTGAGGCGAGAGGTGAGACGAGAGGTGAGGCGAGAGGTGAGGCGGGAGGTGAGGCGAGAGGTGACGCGGGAGGTGAGGCGGGAGGTGAGGCGAGGGGTGAGGCGGGAGGTGAGGCGCAAGGTGAGGCGAGAGGTGAGGCGAGAGCTGAGGCGCGAGGTGAGGCGCGTGGTGAGGCGCGAGGAGAGGCGCGAGGTGAGGCGCGAGGTGAGGCGAGAGGTGAGGCGAGAGGTGAGGCGAGAGGTGAGACGATAGGTGAGGCGAGAGCTGAGGCGCGAGGTGAGGCGCGTGGTGAGGCGCGAGGAGAGGCGCGAGGTGAGGCGCGAGGTGAGGCGAGAGGTGAGGCGAGAGGTGAGGCGAGAGGTGAGACGATAGGTGAGGCGAGAGGTGAGGCGGGAGGTGAGGCGAGAGGTGACGCGGTAGGTGAGGCGGGAGGTGAGGCGAGGGGTGAGGCGGGAGGTGAGGCGCGAGATGAGGCGAGAGGTGAGGCGAGGGGTGAGGCGAGGGGTGAGGCGGGAGGTAGGCGGGAGGTGAGGCGAGAGGTGAGGCGAGAGGTGAGGCGGGAGGTGAGGCGAGGGGTGAGGCGAGAGGTGAGGCGGGAGGTGAGGCGAGGGGTGAGGCAGGAGGTGATGCGCGAGGTGAGGCGAGAGGTTAGGCGAGAGGTGAGGCGAGAGGTGAGGCGCGAGGTGAGGCGCGAGGTGAGGCGCGAGGTTAGGCGCGAGGTGAGGCGAGAGGTGAGACGCGAGGTGAGGCGCGAGGTGAGGCGCGAGGTGAGGCGCGAGGTGAGGCGCGAGGTGAGGCGAGAGGTGAGGCGAGAGGTGAGGCGAGAGGTGAGACGATAGGTGAGGCGAGAGGTGAGGCGGGAGGTGAGGCGAGAGGTGACGCGGGAGGTGAGGCGGGAGGTGAGGCGAGGGGTGAGGCGGGAGGTGAGGCGCGAGATGAGGCGAGAGGTGAGGCGAGGGGTGAGGCGAGGGGTGAGGCGGGAGGTAGGCGGGAGGTGAGGCGAGAGGTGAGGCGAGAGGTGATGCAAGAGGTGATGCGGGAGGTGAGGCGAGAGGTGAGGCGAGAGGTGAGGCTGGAGGTGAGGCGAGGGGTGAGGCGAGAGGTGAGGCGGGAGGTGAGGCGAGGGGTGAGGCGGGAGGTGAGGCGCGAGGTGAGGCGAGAGGTGAGGCGAGAGGTGAGGCGCGAGGTGAGGCGCATGGTGAGGCGCGAGGTGAGGCGCGAGGTTAGGCGCGAGGTGAGGCGAGAGGTGAGGCGAGAGGTGAGGCGAGAGGTGAGGCGAGGGGTGAGGCGGGAGGTAGGCGGGAGGTGAGGCGAGAGGTGAGGCGAGGGGTGAGGCAGGAGGTAGGCGGGAGGTGAGGCGAGAGGTGAGGAGAGAGGAGAGGCGAGAGGTGAGACGAGAGGTGAGGCGAGAGGTGAGGCGGGAGGTGAGGCGAGAGGTGACGCGGGAGGTGAGGCGGGAGGTGAGGCGAGGGGTGAGGCTGTTAGAATTGAACCATTGAGTTGATTAGGAATCATACGGGCTTACATAGTTGAAGCTAGGGGAGGGGGGGTTGGTTGGGTACCTAGTCATCATTATTGGCCCCCCACCAATAAGTTAGGTTGGAGAATTATTGGGGGGTCCCAATAATGTTGGCCAAAAGTGGGCCAACATTATTGGGGGGGCCAATAATCTCTCAACTCAACCTTGGGGGCCAATAATTGGACCAAGGTTGGGTTCCAACCCCCAACTAGGGTTAACCCTAGTTGTGCACCCAAACATAGTTTGGGTGCCTATCTCTGTCCTAGGGTTTATAGGATCAATGTAGGATACAGAAGAGTAGTAGAATCTAACACAACCCCTTAGCCTGCATAGATCTATAAACCTGGATGAGATAAGACAGCAACCCCTGAATCAGTCACCATGGGGAGCAAGGCCCAGGAGCGGCAAAATTGCCGAGTGAGTAGAGCGGTCGAGGGCCTTAGTGAATATGTCGGCGTGGTTGGAGGAAGAGTCGATCTTGCGCACGGTAATGTGGCCATCCTGGACAAGATCACGGACAAAGTAGTGTCGGAGCTCGATATGCTTGGAGCGACCATGGAACACAGCTTCTTTGGTGAGGTGGATGGTGCTGGCGTTGTCACACCAGAGAGTGGGACAAGGCTGTGGTGAGCCAAGGTCCGTGAGGAGATAGCTGAGCCAGCGTGCTTCCTGTGCTGCCATCGTGACCGCGTACAGTTCAGCCTCGCAGGAGGAGAGGGCGATGGAGGAGGAGCGGGTGGAGCGCCAGCTGATGAGGCCGCTCCCAAGGGTGAAGCCATATCCTTGTGAGCTGCGACGATCAGGCTGTGAGTCTGCCCAGAACGAGTCGCTGAAGCCAGTGAGAACCGGCGGGTCTGCTCCACCAAGGGTGAGGGTGTAATCCTTCGCGTGCTGAAGGTAGCTTAGGACACGCCGGGCTGCCGTCATGTGTTCCTCCGTGTGCCTGCCGACACCAACGAATCGCGCCAGAACACTGACTGGGTAGGCAAGGTCGGGGCGGGTGCAGACCATGGCGTACATCAGGGCCCCGACAAGTTCTGCATAGGGGTTAGAGGAGTCGGTGGGGGTGGCAGGGGGCGAGAGCTGGTGCCCAACTGCAAGCGGGGTGGCGATGGGCTTGGCTTTTGACATTCCAAACCTCTCAAGGACCTTCTCAATGTAGAAGGACTGAGAGAGGGAGATAGTCTTAGCCTTGAGGTCGCGGGTGATCTCCATGCCAAGGTAGTTGCGGACCTCCCCCAGGTCTTTGCAGGCGAGGCGACGCTGTAGTTCGTCCTTGACCTCCTGCATCTCAGCATCTGTGTCAGCGGCTAGTAGCATGTCGTCGACGTAGACGAGAATGTAGAAAGGGGACGGAGTCGTCCGAAGGAAGAGGCTGGAGGCAGCTCGGGAGGGGCGAAAACCAAGCTCGCGAAGGGTGGAAGAGAGCTTGGCATGCCACTCCCGGGGTGCCTGCTTGAGGCCGTAGACGGGTCGTAGCAGCTTCCAAACGGTGGACGGGTCATGTGGAGCGTGAAAGCCTTTGGGGCGTTCCATGAAGATGAGTTCGTGTAGGTCGCCTTGGAGGAAGGCGGTAGTGACATCCATGGAGTGTAACAGCATGCCGCGTCTGCCGACGAAGTCGAGGAACACCCGAACGACCGGTGGGGTAGCAGTGGGTGAGTATGTGTCGAAGAAGTCAAAGCCGTGCTTTTGCGTGAAGCCCTTCGCCACATAGCGAGCTTTGTAAACAGGGTCTTCGCCAGGGAGAAGCTTGACACGGAAGAGCCATTTGCCCTTGACGACATTGGTCTTGGCAGGGCGAGGGACGTCGATGAAGGAGCGGTTGTGGATGAAAGCGTTGCTCTCCTTGACCATAGCTTCAATCCAGAGTGGGGCGTCGAGGCACGCAATAGCCTTCCTCAGCACCCCCAGACTCCGCACCCTCAGACTCAGCACCCCCATGCTCCACACCCTCAGGCTCAGCGCCCCCAGGCACCACACCCGTAGGCTCAGCACCCCCAGGCTCCGCACCCCCAGGCTCAGCACCCCCAGACCCGGCACCCTCAGACTCAGCACCCCCAGGCTCCGCACCCCCAGATGCAGCACCCCCAGTGACAAGGAGGCAGGAGTGCATACCACGAAGGCGTGGCAGGGAGGGGTAACCAAGGCGGCGGTGCCACAGGAGAGTCTGGTGCGACAGGAGGCGACTCGAGCAAGGGGGTTCTACCTGACCTGAGGCGGACACCTGGGCAGACGAAGCTACATGAGGAGGCTCAGTAGCCAGTGCGTACAGACTCAACTCGGGCCGACGAGTGAACGTGGCCAGGTGACGGCCCGTCCGTGTACACGTGCAGATCAACACACGCTGACCCCCAGGAGTGGTGGTAGTGACCATTGCATCCTGGAGGGCAGCGGTACTCATCAAGTTCGTAAAGAACAAGGGGAGGTGAAGGCCTGACAGTGAGCCAGACGGAACCGCCACACACGGGAGAACAGTGGAGGAACGGGCAAGGACCGGGCCCCCGGAGGGGTCAGCCAGTCTGACCGGTACATGTGCAGAGAGAGGAGTGAGGGTGGTGTTATCACGAAAGAAACAGCGTCAAGCACCTGAGTCAAGCGTAAAGGTGTGCAAGGCCTCAGCAGGCGCAGTACCAGAGAGAGCAGACTCACTAGCACATAGAGCAGCAGCCTCTATACCTGGGTCAGGCGGCACACACAGGTAGCAGTCACCCTCCGCACTAACAGACAAGGCATACATAGCAGCAAGGATAGCATCATAGTCAAGGTCAAAGATATCCACTCCAGACCTAAGAAGCTCTGCCCAGCGGGGGCGCTCGGCCTCGTCACCAAACTCTGCACGCCAAGCGACGTCGAGGCGGGAGAAGCAGCAGTGCTGAGTGTGAGGCTTCCTGCATGTCTGACCAGCAGGGTCATCCGTGCGAATGTCATACGGGCAGCTACCACTACCCCCAGACGCCCCACGCTGAGAAAACCACTCACGAAGCTGCTGGGGCGACGGGGTCTCGCTCCGACGATGCTGCTGCTGCCTCTGGCCATCGCTAGAACCTCCCCGCTGAGTAGTTCCGGCCCGACCGCCACCACTCCCACTTTCGCCACTACCGTCACCCCCACCGCTGCCACCATCGCCGCCACCAAAGCCCCCACTCCCGCCACCACTCCCACCACCGCCACCACCTCCACTGCCTCCACCACCTCCACTGCCGCCCCCACCACCCCCTTCGCAGCCACCGCCACCACCCCTGCCACCCTTGCCCTTGCTGCTGTGGCGCTTCCCACTAGCAGAAGCAGCCCCGATATCCTCAGCACCAAGGACGTCAACAGCAGCAGCAGAGGCGTAGGAGGGGGCAAGGGGGGAGGGGAAACACCCCTCAAAGAAGGGCGTGCGAGGAGTGCCACGAGCGGCACCTACAGCAACTACACTAGTCTCAGCTGCAAGGAGGTGCTGCTCGAGTAGGTCGATAGTGAGGGCTATGGGGTCAAGTGCGAGAAAGTGGTCTCTGACAGCGCGAAGAGAGTCAGGGAGGTGGGTGACTATAAAGTAGAGAGTGATGTACATCGGGGGCTGGTTCCTCTCAAGGAACTCTGCTAAGAGGGCAGCGCGGTAGCGAGCGTCGCTAGTGCAAAGGTGGGTAACGAGGTCCTCTACTGTGGCAAAGGCAGACAGCTCGGGAAACAGGTAGGGCAGTAGAAGACGGCCTAGAGCAGCAGTGGCAGACGAGGAGTAACGGGCGACTACAGCGTTGTACAGTGCATGCGCAGTCCTGTGCTGTCCGAAGTGAGCGCATTCGGCTAACTGCAAGTGGTTGCGAATGGCTAAGCGAGTAGCAGCGTCACGAGTAAGCCACTGTGAGTGAGTCGCACTGTCAGCTGTGGCGGGAGGGGCGGGAGAGGCTCCAGACGTGTGGTCAAACAACAAAACGCTGTCTCTAGAATCGCTCAGTAGGTACAACTGCAAATCGTCGAGCCTCGTGTCGAACTGGATCTGACGGCCCTCATGATCGAACGCGAGTACGCGGAGAGAAGCCATAGCAGCGCAAGGAACAGGGCAGGCAGCAGGAGGGGCGACAAGCGGGCTGCAAGTGGAGGCGCGCAGGCTGCAGGAGGGGCGGCTTGCGGGCCTAGGAGCGGCGGGCGGGCCGCAAGGGGCGGCGCGCAGGGCTGCAGGGGCAGCGAGAGTGCCGCAAGGGGCGGCGCGCGGGGCTGCACGGGCGGCTTGCTGGCTGCAGGGGCGGTGAGCAGTGCAGCAGGGGTGGCGCGCGGGGCCTAGGGGCGACAGGCGGGCCGCAAGGGGCGGCGCGCGGGGCAGCAGGGGCGGCGGGCGGGCCGCAAGAGGCGGTGTGCGGGGCTGCAGGGGCGGCAGGAGGGCCGCAAAGGGCGGCGCGCGGGGCTGCAGGGGCGGGCCGCGGGCTGCAGGGGCGAAGGGCGGGCCGCTAGGGGCGGCGCGCGGGGCTGCAGGGGCGGCGAGCAGGGCAGCAGGGGCGGCGCGCGGGGTCTAGGGGCGACGGGCGGGCCATAAGTGATTGCGCGCGGGGCAGCAGGGGCGACGGGCGGGCCGCAAGGGGCGGCGCGCGGGGCCTACGGGCGGCGGGCTGGCCGCAAGGGGCGGCGCGCGGGGCAGCAGAGGCAACGGGCGGGCCTGTAGGGGCGGCGCGCAGGGCTGCAGGGGCGGCACGAGGGCAGCAGGGGCAGCGCGCTGAGCTGCAGGGGCGGCGCGAGGGCTGCTAGGGGCGGCGGGCGGGTCGCAAGCGGGCGACGCGCGGGCTGCACGGGCGGCGCGAGGGCCATGACGAGGAGGCGGGCGGGCTGCCAGGGCAGCGCGCTAGCGGTAGGGGCGGGTCGTGGGCTGCTAGAGGCAGCGGGACTAGCTGCTAGGGGCAGTTCTTGGGGCAGCTCTGTGGTGGGCCCTAAAAAAAAACGGTCCTAGCGAAGGACCTGCTCTGAAACCATGTTAGAAGAATGAACGAGAATGAATGCATTGAACAGAAGTTGGGTACAAGTACTAACCCTAATTGGGTTGTACCCCTTATGAGCTAACCCACTATAGCCTACAGAAAGTAAGCAATATAACATTCTGACAAATGTGAATCAAGCAAGTAGGCAACAACTCTGATTTTCACTTGTGAAGCCTGAAGCTTCAGAATAGGCATGTGTGCCTAGACATGAGCAAATTCCACATTCGACTCGAACCGAATATGGGCTTTTTTTTGCCCAAAAATGTTCGTGACGAACACCTAGGTGTTCGTGTGGGTTCGTGCAAAAAAATGCACGAACATCTAGGTGTTCGCCGAAATCCAGCGCGTCAAAAATTGACGCGCTGGTTCGATCTAAAAGGGGAGGTCGACAATTGAGCTCATTCTTGGGCTCAATCGTCGATTTCAACTTAGGATAGCTTTCCGCACACTACCCATTTAAACTGCACCACTCCCACGGTTTGAAGTCCACATTGTGGCTAGAAACATTAAGTATAAGGGTAGATTAGGTTAGGAAACGTTTAAAAACAGAAATCAAGAGCATTTCGTTTTAGCAAAGAGTTTAGCAAGGCGTAATTGATTCCCATCAGATCTGCCCCAAGCCTTACAATAACTATTGTAGGGCTTTTGTGAAAGTTCGTGAACACCTTGTTTTCCACCGTTTTCTGGCTAGGCAATTATGGATTCCTAAATGGTTGATGTAGGGTTGGTTAGCAGCCAAGACAAGGCCATTCCTGGCCCATCCGCACTACTAGTTACTGCAACTGGGACCGCAAGACCTCTCGCACCTCTCGAGCTCATAGGGGGGCAATACCTAGGAGTCCCCACGTCACCAAAAAGCTACAGGTTTAGTGGCGGGGGGCTGGCTGCACCCTCACATCGGTATGGGAAGTCTCGTGATGAGATCGAGGAGAATTCAGAGGAGGCCGAGGAGGATGCGGAAGGGGGGGGGGGAAGGTCAAGGGTGGTGGGGGGGGGGGGGGGGGAGCCAAAGGGATCGGCTGGAAAAGAAGCGCCCACGCATCCAACGTAGTCCATCCGATAGCAATGACAAGGATTATGATCCGAAGAAACATGGGGATTGCGCGGGGTTGAGGGATGACAACGAGGAGGAGGAGGAGGAGGAGGAGAAGGGTGAGGAGGAGGAGGAGGAGGAGGAGGAGGAGGAGGAGGAGGAGGAGGAGGAGGAGGAGGAGGAGGAGGAGGAGGAGGAGGAGGAGGAGGAGGAGGAGGAGGAGGAGGAGGAGGAGGAGGAGGAGGAGGAGGAGGAGGAGGAGGAGGAGGAGGAGGAGGAGGAGGAGGAGGAGGAGGAGGAGGAGGAGGAGGAGGAGGAGGAGGAGGAGGAGGAGGAGGAGGAGGAGGAGGAGGAGGAGGAGGAGGAGGAGGAGGAGGAGGAGGAGGAGGAGGAGGAGGAGGAGGAGGAGGAGGAGGAGGAGGAGGAGGAGGAGGAGGAGGAGGAGGAGGAGGAGGAGGAGGAGGAGGAGGAGGAGGAGGAGGAGGAGGAGGAGGAGGAGGAGGAGGAGGAGGAGGAGGAGGAGGAGGAGGAGGGAGGAGGGGGAGGGAGGGGGTAGTGGTGAGGAGGCTGAGGAGGAGGAGGAGGAGGAGGAGGAGGAGGAGGAGGAGGAGGAGGAGGAGGAGGAGGAGGAGGAGGAGGAGGAGGAGGAGGAGGAGGAGGAGGAGGAGGAGGAGGAGGAGGAGGAGGAGGAGGAGGAGGAGGAGGAGGAGGAGGAGGAGGAGGAGGAGGAGGAGGAGGAGGAGGAGGAGGAGGAGGAGGAGGAGGAGGAGGAGGAGGAGGAGGGAGGAGGGGGAGGGAGGGGGTAGTGGTGAGGAGGCTGAGGAGGAGGAGGAGGAGGAGGAGGAGGTGTCCCACCCGGGGAAGGCTAAGGGAAAGGCCAAGGGGAAGGCCAAGGGGAAGGCCAAGGGGAAAGCCAAGGGGAAGGCCAAGGGGAAGGCCAAGGGGAAGGCCAAGGGGAATGCCAAGGGGAAGGCCAAAGGCAAGGGGAACGGGAAGAAGAAGGGCAATGGTAAAGGCATACAAGTTCAGGAGGAGGGGGGGGAGAGGACGGTATGGCCGCGTCGGTAGATGAGAATGATGGGCCTTTAAAGGCCAAGAAAGGGTGTAAGAAGGCCCCGGGTTGGCAGGTCCAGATGTACGGGCCATTGGGGGCAGATGAGAAGCGCAAATGTAAGATGTGCGACACCCGTATCTGTTGGTCGACGGGCACTACGACTCCAGGGGTGCGCCACATGGTTGCGAAGCACACGGCGCACCACGACATTTGGCAGTATATGTCCCTAAGACCACACCTACTGACTAAGGGGGAGACTTTCCCCGAGGGTGGCTACGATGGAGTTCCCGACAGGTGGTGAATTGGCCACACGTGGCCTCGTGGCCCAATTTGCCGGTGGTGCAGACCCCGAGCGCGAAGGGCGAGGCAGGCGGCATTGAGCGCTTTGTTACAGCGAGGCTGAGTAAGCTGAAGCTTCGTGAGGCGATCACGAAGCTTGTCGTGACTGGCGACTTGCCCTTTCGCATCGCCGACCTGGATGCGGTGAGAAAGCGTTCACCCCCCCTCCTATTCGTTGTGCTTTGATGGATTGAGATTGCTGGCCGCACGTGCTACTTCATTGCAGTCCAGCCATCATGGCATCAACGCTGAGGATGCAAGAACGCCATCATGATTGCTTATGATATACGGTCACCCATGTTACACATGCCATGCCCCTATTACCGAATTGATGTCCACCTTATTCGCCCCTCCTCGTGCTTTTATATACAACACCAGTTTAAGGAGCTGCTGATCCTGCTGAACGAAAAGTGTGGGGAAAAGGGCGTTATCCCATCACGCTGGACAGTGGCGCACGACACCGTTGTCCTTGCTGACTTGGCGCTCGAGGCAGCGATTGCAGAGCTGGCCTCTACAACCTGTGCCGTGTCGTACAGCACCGACATGTGGACAGGCCCGAACGGCAAGGCCTACATGGTCCTGACAGGTCACTTCGTGTCAGTGCAGTGGGAGTTGCGGCAGGTGATTCTTGCTTTCGTCGAGATGCCTGGCAGGCATGGGGGGAAGGAAATTGCGAAGGCGGTGGAGAAGGTGGTGGTGCAGTGGAAGTTGCAGACGCGTTGCCTCGGTCTCACGACTGACAATGCGTCTGCAAACGTAGTTGCTCTTCGGCACCTGGCGGAGGAGGGTGAATTCTCGGGGTACTTCAGCGAGAAGGCGCACTACAGGTCCGTCTTGTAGCTGGATTCCATCAGCCATCAGCATTGACTAACCCTAAACCTGGTTCCTTTTGCTTCTGTCTGCACCATAACACCCTTGTAACCACATTCGCCTGTTTGAAACCCTAAACCCCTCCGATCCAACGCAGGTGCCTGTCGCACATTGTGAACCTGGCAGTGTAGTCTAGGCTGGGTGTGGAGTCGATGACGGTGCCCGTGAAGAAGGTGCGGGAGATTACTACGTGGGTGGGCATGTCGCCCCAGCGAGGAACCGCCTTCATTGCGCTGCAGGTTCGGCATGGAGTGCTGCCCAATGGGCCGCACAAGCTCGTTCAGGACAGTCCTACGCGGTGGGGGTCCACACACGAGATGGTTAAGCGCTTCTTGCTGCTGAGGCCCTTCATCGACATGCACTTTACCCGCGAGCAGGTACGGCTCCATTCGTATCCATTGCAATCTGTGTTGATTGGACGCGTAAGGGATGTTGCTTTGAAGATTGTCAGAATCCACTACGTTCCAACCATTCCCCAAGCCTAAGCACATGTACTCAATGTTATCCAACCCAATCTTGCGCCCTCACCTAATCAACAGGGCACCAGGAAGGAAGAGAAGGAGAAGTGGCGAGGTATGTGTATGACCGATGCCGAGTGGGAGGCCTTGGGGGCTTTGGAGGGGTTTCTCCGTCCCTTTGCCAGAGTCTCCACGGCCGCCGAGGGGTCGACCTACCCCACTGTGTCGATGGTGCTGCCGTACTTCTACGCCCTCATCGTCAGCCTGGAGAAGAAGCTGCACACTGGGACACATGAACTAGTTCGTCCACTCATGTATGCCGCGCTGGGGCACCTGAAGAAGTACGAGTTTGCCATTGGGGATGAGTACTGGATCGCGACCTTCTTGGATCCGTCCATGAAGGCCGAGTACTTCAGGATGACACACTGGGAGCTGATGCATCCAGGCATAGTGGCACGTGACGGTAAGCGGCTTAAGCCACGTATGAGTGCGGACAGGGTGGTGAGCTTGGTGCGCCGCCGAGTGGAGGAGTACCAGGCTCGAGCAGCACGTGAAGCTCCCACCCCACCACCAGCACCAGCAGCAGCAGCGGTGACACCGTTCGAGGACGACGACGACGAGTTTGTGTTCTCTAGGGCACAGCTGCATAAGCGTGTTTCAGCTAGTGCAGCAGCTAGAGCAGGGGGAGGGGGGACGTCGGTGGGGGATGAGGTGGATCGGTACTTAGCGGAGCTGCCTGTCTTGGACGTGCCAGCGCTGCAGTACTGGCAGCGTGCGAGGAACATGGACACGTTGAGGCAGTTGGCACGGGATTACCTCGCTATCCCCGCCACCTCTGCAGCTAGCGAGCGAGCTTTCTCCATGGGGAGGAACCTCATCTCCTTGCACAGGCACAGGCTGAACACTGAGCATGTTAGCGCGAGCATGACTCTCAGGTCATGGTACACGTCACACCCTAGGAAGAGTATTGGTGAGGAACCCGGCTGCAGCGGAGAGCAGGCACCACCAGAGTTGGCGCTAGAGGGAGAGGGGCTAGATGAGGGGGATGAGGAGGAGGCTGTTGCTATGGGGGGAGGAACCGGGGTTGAGTGAGGGAGTTGCATGGGGACTTGGTGCTGTCTGGCTTTGTTTTGCATGTCCTTGACTTGACGTTGCCCTGAACTTTGAGTTGTTGACTTATTTATCCATATTTCACTAGACCATGTGCGCGAGACATTGCGGATCTTCGCTGCTACCTTTATTTACATTCTGATTTTGCTTATAGAACACACGCCCTGAGTTTCTTACATGCACTGAATGTGAGTATAATAGAAAGTACCCCCCATGGCAAATTGTTCGAGTTCGTGCCAAACACCTTGTGTTCGGCCATGCCTCAAAACTGTTCGACACTATACTCGAACGGGGAACACTAATATTTAAGAAAACTGTTCGGGACAAACGTGTTCGGTTCGGTTCGAGTTGACCAAGTGTTCGTCAACTGTTCGAGTCAAACGTGTTCAGTTCGCTCGTTGCTCATGTCTATGTGTGCCTTCATAAATCAGGATATCGTTTCTCTGGAAAATGTGCCTTCAGACAGGGGGGAATATTTTTTCCTGAAATCAGAGTGGCAAAGTTTGAAACATCAGCCCTGTGCGCAGGCGTTTGCGCAGCAGGTGCGGGCGTCAGTGGCAGGCACAAGCGCGTGCGCAGCAGGCGCGGGGGGCGGTGGCTAGGGTGCAACAGGCACTGGCAGCGTCGGCGCGGGCGAGGCAGGCGAGGGCGCGACAGGCACGGCAACGGTAGGTGCGGGCACGGGCGCAGCACGCGCGAGTGGCGGCGATGCAGGCACAGCAAATGTGGGCGCAGCGGGCGCGTCAGCGGCAAGCGCGAGTGCGGCGGCGGTAGGTGCGGGCGCAAGTGCAAGGGTGGGCGCCACTGGTGCGGGCGCGTAAGGCGTGTGCGCAGCCGCGGCAGGCGCGTCGGCAGCAGGCGCAGGCGCAGCAAGTGCTAGTGCGAGCGCGGCGGCAGGCGCAGGTGGGCCAACGGGGCCGCCAGGCGGGCTGCTAGAGAGGGGTGGGATGGGGCCATGAGAGGGGCGCGACGGGGCCGCCAGGTGGGGCGCTAGGGCGGGGTGCGACAGGGGTGTCACATGATATATTTGTTGTTAGGCTTTAGTGAGGTACTCCCTAGAGAGTACAACACAGCTAGGATTCCATATTTATATCCCCTTCCTTTCCTAATTTATCATTCCGTTGTTTCCGTTTATGAGATGGTATCACGAGTAGGTATCCGATCCTAACCTAGGTTAGCTTGTCCCGGCCCGCCGGTTAGCGGACCAAGCCCCGCCCGTTAGCTCCCTGCCCTGCTCGTTAGCGCCCTACCCCGCCCGTTAGCAACTTGCCCCGCCCGTTAGCGCCCTGCCCCGCGCGTGCAACATGTCCCGCCCCGCGCACAGCCCACCCTGCCCCACGTGCAACCCGTCCTGCCGCGCGCGCAGCCTGCCCTACACACAGCCCGTCCTGCCCCGCGCGCAGCCCATCCCTGTCAGAATGTTATATTTCTCTAGTCTGCAGTGGGGTACTCTATAGTGAGTACAGCCCTGTTAGGGTTTGCTGTATGTATCTCAATGTTTGCTAGTGAAACCCCTCTTCTCTCATTCATTCCTTCCTTCTCTATTCTGACATGCTATCAGAGCAGGTCGACCCTCCCGGGTCGATCCTGTGGATGGGCCCACCGTTAGCTTCCGCTACTGTCCTGCCTATCGCGCGCCGAGGGCACGCGCCGTTTTTCTGCCTGCCGCGCGCTCATGGCGCGCGGCATTTTTTCTTCCCGCCGCGCGCGTTTTCTACCTGTCGCACCGCCCTGGTGGCCGCGCGACGCCCTGCCCTGCCCGTCGTGCGCCCCGTGGCGCGCGACGGTGCCTTGCCCGTCGCGCGCCCCGAGGCGTGTGGCGGTTTCGTCGCCCGTCGCGGCGCCCCGGGGGCCCATGCGTCACCCCTCCCGTCGCCCGTCGCGGCGCCCTGGGGGGGCCGCGTGTCGCCCCCCCTCCCGTTGCCCGTCGTGGCGCCCTCGGGGGCCCGCACGCTGCCCCCTCCCGTCGCCCGTCGTGGCGCCCTCGGGGGCCCGCGCGCTGCCCCCCCCTACCGTCGCCAGTTGTGGCGCCCTCGGGGGCCAGCGCGCCCCCCCCCCCTTTCTGCAGCCCGCGAGCCGCCCCTCGCCGCCTCCTGTCCTCGTGCACCTGTGGGGTGGCGGGTATGGGGGTGGCGGGTTTGTGAACCATCCCCTCCTCCTCCTCCTCCGTCTCCCACTGCTGCAGCTGCCGCTGAGGGGGGTGGGTGTGTGGGAGCCGAAGGAGTGGTGCTAGGGGGGTGTTGTGGGAGTGAAGCTAGGGGTGCAGCAGGGGGTGTGAACGGGAGTTTTGGGACAGTTGGGGGAGGTTGGGCGGAGGTGGCCGTCGTGTCGCCAGCAGTGCCAGTAGTCCGGAGGCTACAATCTCCGGTAGCCCGGCGAGCCTGCTGCGCCAGTCGCCCGTGGGTCCGTTGCTCCTGCCGCTCAGAGTTAGCCGCAGAGCCAGTTACTCCTGTAGTCCGGTGCCTTTGCTCCGGTAGCCACCGTATGCGCCGCTCCTGTTGCCCGTGTATCTGCGGCTTCACCCGTCGCCTCCTATCTCCACTCCTCTCACAGTCCCTCCTCCTCACTTACCGTCTGTGACTGCCTCTAGCTTTGCTTATATTTGTGAACTATAAACTGCTGCTTGTTGTGCTGATTATACCCCACTTTGACTATGGGGGTGTGTCAGAATGTTATATTTCTCTAGTCTGCAGTGGAGTACTCTATAATGAGTACAGCCCTGTTAGGGTTTGCTATATGTATCCCAATGTTTGCTAGTGAAACCCCTCTTCTCTCATTCATTCCTTCCTTCTCTATTCTGACAATCCCGCCCCGCGTGCAGCCCGTCTCGCCCCGCGTGCAGTTCGTCCCGCCCCGCGCACAGCCCCTCCTGTCCGCGCGCAGCCCGTCCCCCTCCCCCCTCCTCCCTCCCTCCTCGCGCAGCTCGTCCCGCCCCGCGCACAGCCGGTCTCGCCCCGCGCGTTTCCTATCTCAGCGTGCTGCCCGCCGTGGTTCTCGCAGAACTGTAGGAGCTTGAAAAGTGTAACTCTAAAAGGGTGTGGAAAGGGTGCTGCAGTTGAGCGTAGTCCTAGGTGTCTCGTTCTCATCCACATTTCCTAGATAATCTCAGGTCCTTATGTCATTTTCACGCTACTTGGCTAGACCTTCTTTTATTTCCCGTCACCCCTTAGCATTCGCGATTTTTCTTTTTCCTAAGTATTCATTTGTGGATGCCCCATTTCGGCCCGTAGAGCCCTTCCTGCCGCGCATATTACCCTCCCGCGCCTTCCCTCTTCGTCGCGCCTCCTCCTCCTCGCGTCTCCGACAGTCGCGCGCCTAGTTCCGCCCGAAGCGCGCTCTGCCGTCCCCCCCGTCCCCCTCCCGTCGCGCGCGCTTTGCTTTCCCGCTGCTGCGCGCACTTCGCACCGTCCAGCAGCGCGCGCGCCTGCCTTTCATTGCGGCGCGCCCTGCTCTTCCCCAGTCCGCCCACCTCCTTCACCCTCCTCCTCCTCTCCTCTCTTATTCTAGTTCCCCCATTATCCCACAACCCTTTTCTCCCGTGGCACGCCCCACTTGTCATCCCTGTACACCTCCACGCTCTACTCCATGCCATCAAACTACCCCTCCGCACAATCCGCCCCTTCAACCTCCTCCTCCTCTCCTCTCTCCCTTCCTTCCCCTCCCAATGTCACTCTCTCCTCCGCCTCCCTCCTCTCCTCAACTACCGCAGCTGGTTGCCGCCCTTGTTCCGTACCTTTGCTCATCAAAACATACCCTTCCACACCATCCGCCCCTTCAGCTTCCTCCTCCTCTCCTCTCTCCCTTCATTCCCCTCCCCATCTCACTCTCTCCTCCGCCTCTCTCCTCTCCTCTACTGCTGCAGCTGGTTGCCGGCCTTGCTTCGTAGCTGTTCTCCTTTCCCAATCTTTTCCTCCACCTCTTGTTTCTCCCCTCAGCTGCTCAGCATCAGACTACTCTACCGTTATCCCTCCTCCTCTTATTTCTCCCCTCAGCGGCGCAGCAGCAGACTACTCTGACGTTATCCCTCCTCCTCTTATTTCTCCCCTCAACGGTTGAGCATCTGACTACCTCGCCCCTATTCCTCCTCCTCTTATTTCTCTCCTCAACGGCTCAGCAGCTGACTACCTCGCCCCTATTCCTCCTCTTATTTCTCCCTTCAACAGCTCAGCAGCTGACTACCTCGTCTCCCCACATCTGCTCCATTGCTCTCCCCTCCCCCTCATGGCGCCTACTCTCGCTCTTACCTCTCTTCCTCTGCGCTTCCGCCCTCACCCTCCTCCCGCCGTACCTCCTCTCCTACCCTTGCCTTCCCTTCCCTCCGCTTCCTTCGCTGCCTCTTTCTCCCCTTGCACCACCTCTCCAACTTGCCGCTGGACCCCCCCTCTTCTCCACCCCTCTACTTGGATTCCGCTGTCCCATCTGCGTCGCCGCTCTTCTGCCGTTGCAACCTCTGGTATTGGTTCTCTGGCCTCTATCTTCTGTGTGACCATGCCATCGCAGGATAGCATCCTTGGTGCTTCTCCTCTTATGGACCCTCGCTTTGTCGTTCCATTTTCTCCACCCCTTCAAAGCATTGTTTCTCACTCTCCCAGCCCTACGGTTGCCGCTCTCTCACTTCCTCGCACCTTGGATTTTGTCCTTGACAGCGCTACTACTGACTCTCTTCCGTGATGCCGGTATCCTTCGCAATTTTCCTCGTCCCCTCTCTATTGATGGGGCTGGGGAGACCATGACCATGATCTGCACTGGCACTTCCTCTTTTCCCTGTCCTGCCTCTCCCTCTGGCGCTGTTACTGGCCTTTATGTTCCCTCTTGCCGTCATAACCTCCTATTTCTCCCTGCCCTCCAACGCCTGGGTGTGCGAGCGCTCTTCCCCGCATGTGAACTCTATTGCGATCTTCATTACCACGACCGGCACCTCGCTCGTTTCACCCTTTCTCCTACTACTCGCCTCTACACCCTTCGTGTTCCCATCCCCTCATCTGTCTATCACACATCCTCTCCTTCTGCCCCTCCCGTCTCCTCTTGCGACTGTCGCTCTCTCACCCAACCTACCCTTCTTCTCCATCATCCTCTTGGTCACCCCAACTTCCCTCTCCTTCATAGCATGGTCAATTCAAAGCTGCTTCATGATCTCCCTTTCTCTCTCCCGCCCCTTCCCCCCTTTCCCGTTCCTCCATGCACCCCTTGTGTTCAGGCCAAGCTCTCCCAATCTCCTCATCCTTCTTCCCCTTCTGCCTCCCCCAAACCCCTTGATCTTGTGCACATGGACCTCTGGGGTCCCTCTCCCATTGCCTCCCATCAGGGTCATCTCTACTTTCTCCTTCTCGTTGATGACCATCCTCGCTTTGCCACTGTCTATCCCCTTCGTGCCAAATCTGACGCCCCAACCCTCATCATTCGCTGGGGTGAGCAGGCGCGTCTTCACTTTGGCCGTCCTGTCGCGCGCCTCCACTCCGATGGTGTTGGCGAGTTCTTTAACCGCTCTCTCTCTTCTTACTGCTCCTCTCATGGCATTCGCCAAACCTCCACCCTTCCCCATTCTCCTGAACACAATGGTGTTGCCAAGCATTGTATTCGCATTCTCGTGGAGATCACACGCTGTCTCCTTACTCATGCCTCTGCTCCACACTCTCTTTGGAGCTACGCTCTTGTTCATGCCACTCTCCTTTCTAACCTTCGCCCTCATCATATTCGCTCTTCCATTACACCCTTCCAGCTCTGGACTGGCCGTCAACCTTCTGCCCGCCCTCTTCGGGTGTGGGGCTGTATCGCTCATGTCCTCATCAATCCCGCCGATCGGGCAGGTTAGGGTGGGAAGCTCGCTCCCAAGACGGAGCTCTGTGCATTTATTGGCATCAACTCTGACTGTCCTCGCTATCTTTTCTATGCTCCCTCTTAGCAGCTCATTCGCAGCCAAGAGGTCATATTTGATGAGACTCGATCTCCATTCCTCACTCCCCCTCCCGCCCCACCTGCTCCCTCTCTCCATTGGTCTGACTTTGATCCGCTGCCCTCTGCTGCCCCTTCTCCTCCTCCCCACCCTCCTGCCCCTGCTCCACCTCCCCTGCCTGCCTGCTCCTCCCCCCCCTCTGATGTCATCTCTGACACCTCTCCTCCTGCCTCTTCCTCTTATGCTCCCATGCCCCCTCCCCCAGCACCTCCTTCTGCTACCCTCCCTTCTACTCCTGCTCCCCCGCCTTCTCCACGTCTCACCCACTCCAGGGTGTGCACTGTCCAATTTTCAACACTCTGCTCTCTTTAATCGTCTCTCTCCCTCTCAGAACGTTGATCTTCTCGAAGATCGATTTGAGGAACTCTTCTCTGTTCATCTTGTTTCACCCCTCCTTTGTGTCATCATTGGCGACTTCTCCAATTCTCCCACCCTTCTCTCCGTTGACACTGCCGCTATTCCCACCCCTCATACCTATTCCGAGGCAGTGTCTGGTTTTCATGCAGCTGAGTGGATGGCTGCCATCATTGTCGAGTGTGAGGCATTCACCAGGACTCACTCTTACGTTGACTCTGTCCCCCCCCTCTGGCGCCGCCATTGTCAAGGGCAAATGGGTCTTTTGTGTCAAACAGTTGCCTGGGGAGCTCCCTGTCTTCAAAGCTCGTTACTGCGCCAAAGGCTTTACCCAACGTAAAGGCATTGACTACTTTGCCAATTACTCCCCCGCTGCCTGTCTCCCCACTCTTCGCCTCCTTCTTGATCTAGGCGTTTGCTGGGTGTCTCCAATACCTTTCTCCAGGGCGAGCTCCATGAACGCATTTTCCTTGAGCGTCCCGCTGGCTTTCCTCGCCCCTTCCCTCCAGGCACTGTCTGGGAGCTGAAGCGCCCAGTGTATGGTCTTAAGCGGCATGCTAAGCTCGCCTCCACTCTTCACTCTCTTGGCTTCTCTACCTCATCTTCCGACCCCATTCTCTTCATTCGCACTTCCACCCACACGCTTTACATTCTTGTCTACGTCGATGACTTGGTGCTCCTCGCTGAAGATTATGCCAACCTTGCAGTTGTCAAGAAGGCCCTCCATGCGCATCTCCTGTGCAAGGATCTTGGCGGTCGTTTGAGAGAGCGAGAGAGAGAGAGAGAGAGGCTGCCTTTGTGTGGATTATGAACACACACGCTCTCTCGATCTGTCTGCCTTTCCACCTGCGAGGCTGAGTTGTACGCAGGCACATTCGCAGCTAAGGAGGCTCGTTGGCTCTCCTTTCTCCTTGCTGAGCTTGGTCACTCTCAGCCCTCTATGACGCTCTCCTGTGACAGTGCAAGCATGATTCACCTCACTGAAAATCTTGTCTATCACGCTCGCAGCAAACACATCGAGGTCCGCTACTTCTTCGTACGCGAGCTGATGCAGTTTGGCTTCCTCTGCCTTCGCAAGGTGGTCGCTATTGCCAACCTTGCTGACATTTTCCCCAAGGCCCTCCTTCGTGCGCCACATTGTTTCTACGTGCACGCGCTTGGGCTCACTCGTCTCGCCACTTTTGGGGGTGTTACGGTTCGCTAGGTGTTTTGTTCCAGAGGTTCACCTAGCCTGGGGGTGTGTTGGAGTAGGCTAGAGTTCGCTCTGGTCTTTATTTTGGTGTTCTCTTGTTATTTCGCCATGCTTAGAGCGAGACGCATTCAAACTCAATTCATGTTCAATTCGTAACTCTAACATCAACTGAACACACCATAAGTTCAATTAAGGTTTCCAACTCCTTTCTAGTACAACTTTTCAATCTCACCTAAGTCTCTCGCCATCCATGGCTCCTCTCACTTTAACACAGTCGACCTTCCTAGGGCAGATTAGGGTTAGTGCCTCTCCGTGCCTGGTGTCTCTAGACTAGCCCTTCTAGCTCTATTCACCAATCGCTTTAGCAACCTTCCTAGGCTAGCCCTTCCAGCTTTGTTCACCTTGAGCTTCGCTCCTAGTCCAGTCGGGCACTAGCCATGGCGGCCTCTTGACCCCTACATTCGATGCGAAGGGTAGGGCATTGGAGTTCCCCAACTGGCTTCTCCACACCGAGCTGTACGTACAGAGTCAGCACCAGGATGGCGACACGCTCTAGGCACACATCCGTGGTGACCTACGTTCGCCTCCTCACACTCGTGACCTGCGTGAAGAGCCTACTGACGTCGAACAGGAGCGCTTTGATAAGGCCCGTACAACTCTGTCGGTGTTGCAGACTCGTGATGCTGCGGCTTGTATCGGCCTTGCCAGCCTTCTCCCCGAGTCTGAGGAGGCACACTTCAGCCAGGTTCCATCTTCCCAGGCCTGTTTTGCTGTGATAGAGACCCATTACTCCACTCCCTCCTCCGCCTCGCTCGGTTGCCTCTTCATGTCGTTCATGTTTCCTGACCTAGGGGCGTTAGCTCGCACTGCTGACCTTATCACCCATCTGCGCTCGCTCGACTCTAGCTTCCGTACTGCTTGTATTGAGGCTGAGCTTGCGATTCTCCCCCCGCTTGTGCCAATCACTATTCACTTCATAACCACTTGCCTCCCTGACCGCCTTGCACCTGTACGCGACACGCTTCTTCGGAAGCACCCTACTGAGCTCACTATCAACGTCCTTCAGTCAGCACTCAAGGACATCGAGAGCAACATCCGCTCTGTTGCCTCTGCTTTTGGCTCCGTAGTTCCCCCACTCTTTTAGGGGTGTACTGTTCCACATCTCCCCACCTTCACTACTTCTCTTGCCTCTACTGCGTCTCCTGTTCCTGACGAGACTACAGCCGTGTCCACTGCGGTTGGTGTCGAACTTATATATAGCTTACATTGTGTAGGCTGTAGTGGGGTAGCCCATAAGGGGTACAACACAATTAGGGTTAGTACTTGTACCCAACTGTTTCATAGTTCATTCATTCTCGTTCACTATTTCTGACATGGTTTCAGAGCAGGTCCCTTCCTAGGACCGTTTTTTTTTTTTGCCTACCACATGCTGCCCTGCTAGCCACTCTCGACCCTAGGCCCCGGCCCGTAGCCTCACGCCCGTCGCCCCTAGGCCCCGGCCCGTCGCCACCGCTAGCCCAACCCGTCGCCCCTAGCGTAGGCCCGTCGCCCCTTGGCGTCGCCCGTCACCCCTAGCCTCGGCCCCTCGGCCCCTAGCGACCCGTCGCCCCTAGCGTAGGTCCAGGCCCCGCGGCCCGTCAACCCGTCGCCCTTAGCCTCGCCGCGACCCCCGTCGCCCTAGGCCCAACGCGACCCCCGACGCCCTAGGCCCGTCGCGACCCCCGTCGCCCTAGGCCCGTCGCGACCCCCGTTGCCCTAGGCCCGTCGCGACCCCCGTCGCCCTAGGCCCGTCGCGACCCCCGTCGCCCTAGGCCCGTCGCGACCCCCGTCGCCCTAGGCCCATCGCGGCCCTCCGTCGCCCGTCGCCCGTAGCGACCCCCCGTCGCCCTAGGCCCGTCGCGGCCCTCCGTCGCCCGTCGCCCTAGGCCCATCGCCCATCGCGGCCCGTCGCCCCTCGCCTAGGCCCTTGCCCCGCAGTCCCTCGGCC